GTTCCCTCGATAAAGATTATATGTCAATCATTCACCATTAATTGGAGTAAAACTACGATATTTCTGCTTGCGTGCTAACATTTTATGCAAGTATATTTGTTGCACTATCAATCATAATTGAGTACCGAAGGGCCAGTCAGGTCGATCTCGCTTGGAACTTTTGTAATAATGTACTGTATACTACTTAATTTGCCTTTAGTGACATATTTTATTTACTAAAATTAATTTACTCATTTGTTTGTCGACATTGAGTACAAATGTAAATTAAATCACAGACAAATAGAGCGTGTTAATCTAGTCATTCTATGTGATATGATTCAGATTGGCCACAATTAAAAGTTTGATTAATTAAATAAAGTTTATTATTTGAGGGTTACGAATTTAAGTTTGAATCATGGCTAAGTCACGTGCTTTACGTCTTGTTTAGGCTAAGTCTGGGTACGGCTGGGTATCAGCGTACTATAGGAAGTTTCATTTAAATGTTTAACGATCTCTTGGATAGAGTGATACTATGTAGTCGGTCCATCTGGGTTATTCTACATCCTGATTTGATGGTGGGATCTGTAGGCGTTTAAGCTTTAATCCAGAGTAGGTTGAAAATTCATTATTTTTTTTGGGATCAAAGTACTATTATTGCTTGGACTTTCATTTCGTATGAAGAAGAGAAGCGATAATGTTATCTCAAGAGATTCATCGAAACCCAGTTACTCTTCATAGCAAAATACTACCTAAAATATTGCATATTTGTGAATGAGGTAGGCTTGGATTGTGTATCAACCATTATACCAGTCAGCACATGTCTTATTGCATTGTAGTGAGTAAAGTGTACTAATTAGATCAGGCATAATAAGTTGCACTTAGATTATAAATAATAAGGATATGAATAGAAACTGGGTTTAGATGAATCTCTTGAGCTAATATTATTAGGGGGACTTTCAGTTCGCACGAAAGTGAATGAAGAAGAGATTCGTTGGTCGATCTCACCAGATGAGGACGGATGAATCTCGTACTGCAGCCGTTTGGCTTTTATACGATATTCATTTTGACGCAGTCCACGAGACTTCTCCCTCGTTTCGGGTAAAAACGTACTTAGCTTTCGTTCACCATATGATGGACATCGTCAGAGCTGGGTTTCATTTAACTCAATTGAGTCTATATAAGAAGTAAGATTAGCCGGATAGTGTTCTTGGCCTAGTGAGACTTATAAGAATGAAACCCAAATGATGGATGAAAGCTCAGCACGTTTTCACCCGAAACGAGGGAGGAAGTCTCGTGGACTGCGTCAACATG